CCCCACTTTAAAAATGTAAGTTGCAAATGAGCAATCAGTGTGTGATTCTGGGCAGATGCTGTGAGGTTCCTTGTAAAACCCTGACATCTGTGTGTGAGCAAGCTCCTCTCAGGCTGGGTGCGAGGCACACGCAGTTCCAGGGAAGGGAATACAGATGTATCTTGTGAGGAGGTGCTTTGTCAGGAAGCCTGTAAGTGCTACAGGACATTTCTATGCCTTTTGGGTGTAAATTTCAGTGAATCTTACCTCAGTTGTCTTTGGAGTTAGTCCTTTGTATCTGCTACTTCGGAAACGTGATTATTAAAGCTCAAGTTAATACAGATTAAATGATTCCACCTCTCCTAAGCTGTGCATTCCAGTCCAAGTCTGCATGCTTTCAAAACGTGCCAGAGTTGGCCCCTGCATGTTGAGAGCACCTGATATTGTCTCCACTGAATTTAGTCTGTGATGCAGGAGCTGAAGCACTCATCAGGAATTTCAAATAACTTGCAGCCTGAGACCCTGACTTCAAAACTGCTGGTGTGGTGTAAGCTACTGTCTTTGGACTTAAATTCACCATTTCTTTAATGGCCTGCTTTGCCTGCTAGATCACTCCTTTCTTCACTCAAGTGTTTAATGTATTCTATGAAAAGTACATGTATTTTACTCACCGAATTGAAAGGCTGAGACAAATATCATTTAGTCTTCATTTAGTCTGCATTTAGTCTTCTTTCTCCACACAAAATTTCATGCTAAGAATTAAGCCTGCACATTAAACTTTGCAGGGATAAGTCACTATTTTTGAGTTTCACATTTATTCTAGATTTTAATTGAATACTGAGAGTAAATATTAAAGGATGCAAAAAGAAAATGTTTATTTTGGTTTTGTCAAAGATGTTTCCTCAGTAGCCTTTTTTTTCAGTTATCTACAGGGTATTTCTGTCTCCAAACTGAAGAACTGACCTTCCTAAATGATTTGGAATTCCTTAGTTCTGCACACTTATTTAGGCAGCTGCCCTGAAAAGCTTCAGGTAACCAGCCTGATACAATGGTAAAGTGTATAAATCAGTGTACTGAGCCCGAGTACAGTGAACCCGAGCTAGCACTGCTCACAGCTATTGAGCCAGACATTTTCTGCAGGATATTTGGGGTTGGGGTTATTTCCCCTTCTCTATGATCTGATGGATTATATTCATTTTCTCATCAGAAAATTAAATTTCTAAGTAGGTTTCCATCTCGACAATCTGAAATACTTAGTACTTAATCTGTTCTTTAACATTGCTTTTTCAGACTGTAATTTATCTGTCTGGGTCTGTTGAAGCAGAAAGCACTTGCTCTGCTCCTGAATGCTGCAGGTATGTCTCAGACTGCCAAATAGTTTCAGGGAAACTTTAATGAAAAATGTCTTTTTTTGGATAATGGATGGTGAAAAAGGAAAAGGTCTGCAAAACTTATCCACATGAATCTGCTTTTTACTAGAGCTGACAAGAATAATTTTATTCATTGCTAACCCTAAAAGTAGGTAGTGGTACTAGAGTCAGCAGAATGCTTGCCAAGTTTCCTTTGGATATGCCCTCATTTCAGTAGTGAATGAGGTGATCTTTTAATGAAAAACAGAACATAAATAAACAAATAATACCGATTATTTTTTCCTCCTTCCAACAAGACAGAGTCGTTATCATTTGAGATTATGAAGTACATTCACCACTGGAGTCCTGCTGTGTTAGTGATAAGGGAACTGACAAGGCATTCGCACAGAGATACTGCCCTCTATTGCAAACTGCTCTGCTGCTGCTACTGCTCTTGCATTGAGACCAATGCTAATCTGCAGTTTTAAAACTGCTTACAAATGGGGCTTTTTAGTTCAGTCATTTTCTGCCAGTCTGTAACATTAAGGCTGTGCCAAATGCATTAAGGTCCCAACAACCCAAACTCTTTTACAGACAGCACATGAAGTCTGTGGCAGACACTGGTGTGCTGTTTGCTTCATTGCCCTTATCCGCACCTCAGCTGGGTTTTGATTTGATTTCATGTGGGTTTGTAACCTGAAAGGCACAGAACAGAGTAAATGAAAACCAGAGGGGACACTGGCAGTGGAGCTGGAGGGTGAAAAGCTGCTCAGCACAACTAACTCTGAGAAACCCAGCTCAGTGCACAGCCCAGCTCAGGCGCCACTGCTGCTCTCCACCCACAGCCACTGGGAGCAGGCAGGGAATAACTGATGGGGGAGGATCTCACACCGAGACAGGCCCCTGGGATAGAGAAGCCACTTCTCCCTACATCATTCTGAGATGTAAGGGGAGGGCCTGTGCTCATGCAGGCTCCTACTACAGCAGGGAGGACGTAAAGGGAAGGCTACAGTCATACTACTCATACTCAGTCTCAGCTGCTTTTTCCACTCCATTGATGCTGTCCAGTGTGTTCCTCAGGTTAAAGCACTTCTCATTAATAAAATGAGCCTTAGTTTGCTCAGAAAGACCCTGGTCTAGGTCATCTCTGCATCTCTTTTGATGCTGAGAAGGGGAAAGACCTTAATCTAAACCACATTTAATGCTGTTGTGCTAAATAACAAATTGTTTTTGTTAGCTTCCTATAATGCTTCATGTTAGAGTTTGCTTGCATTTACAGTGGCTTGAGAATGCTCAGTGCTATAATTTTGGCTAGAGGGAGCTGCTCTACCATCCTTCTCCACTGGCCTCTAGTGTGAGTTCACTGAAGAAAAGTATTTAACATAAAGCTTCTAATAATGTTTGTCATTTTAATGATAGATAACCACAAGGGTGAAAAACCCCCGGTAGTTGTGTGGCATGAGGGAAAGCCTCAATGCAAAAAGGAGGAGGCGTTCAGGGGGAACCTTCGTGCAAGCACTGCTGTAAGTGAGAAAGAAAAGAGCAGACCAGAGTTGTGGTTTCCCATCTCTCCTGTTTTGGGGGACAGATTCACTTAGCATAATTCAAATTGTACATCACTGCAAAATATGTTGAAGCATTTCTGCTCACCTTGATCATAAGGCAGGAAATATGTTGCTGCATCTCTGCTTTCTTACTCTCAAGGAATCTTGATGTAATTTTATCTCCTTTGGCTCTTCCAAAAGCAGGGAAGGCCTGGAAGGCCTTGGGCTAGAATCAGAATAATAGGAATTAAGAAAGACAAAGCCTTGCTTTCCAAAGCTTCAGGAAGACAGCAGACTTATTGACATTTTTGGTAAATATTGCCATATAGAGTTGTCAATTGGTATTACCTCAGTCTGCCTGATGTGGAGATAGAACTGGGTCAAAGGTGACCAGAAATGCCACCCTGAAACACTAAAGCCTGTTGTTCACCCAGAGAGCCCTGCACAAGGAGCCCTCACTGGCTCAGAGGAAGGGGGGTGCTGAAAAAGGAATTCACTTTTCCTTTTTGGTGCTTTTTGTGGGGAACATCCTATATAACCTTGGGAACAGAGAATGATCTGTTGGACCCGAAAGAAAAATATTTGGACGTGTACCTCAGTTTAAAATGTGGAAAGTCTTGCTGACATCAGTGAATCTAATTCATATGTTGGACAGGAAGCACAGACCCAGAGTGCTGTACTGGGCTGTGGTCTCACACCAAGACACTTTTTTCAAGGCCAAGCTACAGTATAAACTTCTCAGATATGTCTTACTGGCCAGTTCCTCCTGCCACAAACATTTGAATTTGCTTAAACATTTGACTCCAGTTCCAAACAGCATTTTGTTCATTAGTTTCCCATGGAAGGTAATTACAGGGCAGTAAGTGCAGGAGCTGTACAATATCCAGTGGTGTTGTATGGCTGCTGCAGGTGGTCACAACAGAACAGAGCCAGCCGGGGAATCGTTGGCATAATGTATAGAGAGACAGGAATAATGGAGTTACTGAAAAACAAAGAACTTTTAATGTAAAAATAACAAATGTAGAAACCACATGGTACAAGGGACAACTTCCAAAGACCCCAAAACCCAGAAAGCATAGAGGTGTAGAGATGGGATAGAGGGAACAGGATCAATCAATAACGGGGATAAGGAACAGAACCATAGATGTAGCTGGCAATTAAACAACCAAATATCAAAACCTCATTTGTAACAAACTGGTTAACATGTTAGTTCCCATGAGACAACTCCTCTCTATTCTCTCACCACGATGTAAAGGATGTCCTTTCTCCTAGCTGGGTATCTCCCAGGGTTTGAAGCTGAAGCTCTCTGCATCTGCAAGTGAAGCCTGTTCTCTGTACACCTCGATTTCTACCATCTTGGGCTTTTATTGAGATAAATATGCTTGGAAGCTCCTGAAAGACCTTAACTAAAAGTATTTTCATACTTTTTCTAGGTTTGTTTGGTTGTTTGGAGGGATTTGTTTGGTTTTTGCTTTGTTTTGGGGGTTTAGTTTGGGTTTTTTTGGTAGGTGGACAGCTACTGTTTTTATGTTTGGTTTGGTTTTTTGGTTTTTTGGTTTTTTTTAATTACTAGAGTGTTCTTTTTAAAAAGCTTGCAGTTGTTGAAGTGCTGTGTCACAAACAAGATAACTTTGCAGTATAATTCTCTCAAAAATACAGATTAAACACCAAATATTACCAGATACTCTTTTCTATTTCCAGGGTGACATCACCTCAAATAATAACTTACACACTTGAATGTTAAAACAAGCAAGTTTGGAGACTAATCGGTCAGAAATGGGAGTACTTGAGCCTCTGAACTGTGCTCAGATCAGGAAAATATCCTTTTTACAGCACCTAGGCTGTGATGTTAGAGCGGAAGAGAGGATAAGGCTGTGCTCAGGCGGCTATGGGAGAGAGGGAGGGAGCAGTGACTGGGATGAGGCAGCCAGGAATAGGGTCCAGATCGCATCACCAGCATTAATATACTCAGAATTACCATGAGATACCGCAACAGCACGATTGTACTGGAATGATACATAATCTGGGCATGAAACTTGTGAAGCACAACAGTGAAGCGTATTCCTGTGTGATGCCTGCTACGGCAGCGGGACAGCGCCGTGCCCATAGCTGCCGCGTCTCCTTCCAGAGGCCGAGCTGGGTACGGGGCACAGCCCCGGGCCGGGCCGGCTCCGAACACACAGCCTGCGGTACCGGCACGGCTCCGCGCCGTTCCTTGTCAATCGCTTCTGCCTAAAGCAGTTCCAGTGGAGAATGTCCATCCTGGCTTTAAAATCACATCGCTGCCATAAGAAAAAGCATCTGCCGGAGCTCACGGACAGGCCGGGCCCCGGGGGGGGTGCGCGGGCTGTCCGCAGGGCCGGGTGACCCGGAGCAGAGCCCGCCGGGGGATCAGCAGAGCTCCCCGCGACAGAGTTCCAGGGACTGTCACGGGGGCTTTCGCTGGTGTCACCGCGTCCCTCGTTGGTGCCACCAGGGCTCTCATGGCATCACCGCATCCCTCGTTGGCGCCCCCGGTCACCCGAGTCCTCAGCGGCAGCGCCCCCTGGCGGCAGCGGTTGGGCACCTCGGGCCCGAGGTCCCGACCCTGGCTGCGGCGGAAGTGACGAACACTATGGCGGAAGTGACGCAGCGCTATGGCGGAGGCGCCGGGTGCACCGGAGGGTGAGCGGTGGGGCCGGACGGGGCGGGACGGGCCCCCCGCCCGCAGCACTCGCGGCCCATTTCTCGCTGTCCCTTGCAGAGTGCCCCGGGACCGGCAGCGCCCAGGCGGGCAGAGCGGCCGCCTGCCAGGGATGTCCCAACCAGGGGCTGTGCGCGGCCGGCGCGGCCGGGCCGGACCCGGGTGAGTGCCGCAGCCGTGAGGGGAGCGGCTCGGGAGGCGCGGTGCTGGCTCGAGGAGTGGGGTGCGGGCTCGGTGCCGGCTCGGGGGGCGCGGTGCGGGCTTGGGGGGCGCGGTGCCGATTCACTGAGGGCGCGGTGTCTCCGCAGCGGAGGCGGCGGAGCTGCGGGAGCGGCTGCGGGCGGTGCGGCACAAAGTGCTGGTGCTGTCCGGCAAGGGCGGCGTGGGCAAGAGCACCTTCAGTGCCCTCCTGGCGCACGGGCTGGCGGCGGACGAGAACAAGCAGGTGGGCAGAGGGCAGGGACAGGACGGGCGGCCGGGTCCAGCGCCGGGCACCTGCGGGCAGGTACCGATTCTGTGCCCGTGCTCGTTAAAGTTTGACTTTGTTGGATGAACCTTGCTGGAGTGATTTCATTGCATGAGGTCACCTTTAGAGACAGCTCTGTGCTGCCTTGTTTCCAGTGGGGCAGTCGGCTGGTTTGTTTTCCAGGTTGCTCTGTTGGACATAGATATCTGCGGGCCATCGATTCCTAAAATAATGGGTCTAGAAGGAGAACAGGTAAGTGAATACTCAAACATCTTGTTTAAGGGGTTTTTCATTAGCATATTCAGGCTTTTTGGATGTAGAGCTTCTAAAGGGAGTGCATAATGGGAAATGTGGGACAGTGGGTAGGGAAATGAGGTGAGATGAAGAAGTTCAGCATAATATATCTTCCAAAAGAGTCATCTGCTTTCAGGATGAGCAGCTCTGCAAACCAACTTTCATTGTATATCAGCCACATAATGCTGATAACTTGAAACTTGAGTAGTATTAGCATGATGCACTTTATCAGCCCTTGAATATTTCTTACAAATACATAAAGTAATGAGTAGACTCACATAAGGTTTGAGCAGTTATAATTCACTTTTTAATGGAGATCTGCTGCTCCTGCATTTTTACCTCAGCTGCCCCACTAAAGCATGATTGTACCTGCAGGCAGGAGAGCTCTTTGCCCAGGTTTGATTTATGTTCATGTTTTATGTAATGCCTAATCTATTGCAACTTTCGTGTGTCGCTTCAATTTTCAGGTTCACCAGAGTGGATCTGGGTGGTCTCCAGTGGTGAGTTGGTGCAGCTGTTTCAAAAAGTTCATTGGGTGTGTTTGGGTCGGGCACCGTCTTCTACAGTGAAACATAAATGAGGGAGGAGCAGGGGGTATTCTTGTTAATTCTTCTATTGACTTAAATATGCAGATTGTATAGAATCTACAGATACAGTATGTAGATTCTACAGAGTCTTTATGTCTGGATTCTGTAGATTTATATAACCTATATCCGTGTTCTATAGAATATCTAGAGAATGCTATATAAAATATATATCCATATTTTATAAACTATAGAATAGATCTATAAAATCAAGATGCATATCATATAGGGTCAGGATATAGACTATGTAGGTCAGAGTGTTAAATTTTTTAGTAGTCGTAATACTGTATTTCTAGAATTGTTTTATTATCTTACATTTACTGACTTTGCAATATGGGCAATACATATAAGTTACTCAGGTTTGTTATTTTGGGGTATCATGCAGCTATAGTGTGTCATCTTTTCTGTGACAGCCAAGAAGTATCTTGCACCCAAGAAAAACCTTACTAATTTTTAGAATATGCAGAGAAGATTTTGCAGTAGTGTTGGTTGTCTAAAAGATCCCCTGTAGTGTGCATGCTGTTAGAAAGGCAGCTGGTGCTGAGAGGGAAAGCTGCTTTTGCCCTTACATTGTCTCCAGCGATTCCATAAACTGCTGCAGCAGTTTCATTTTTTCAGTCTTAGTGTAGTTGGTGAATGTTGCACAAGATGCAGTTTTTAATGCCCTATGGTAAAAGATAAAGTTCTCTGCCTTCATTTGATTAATGACTTCTCCCTCATCTGCTTTTTCTGTAAAATAGGGGTTCAGAGTTGGTTTCTCTACTCTTTCTTCACTGTTATGTTTCTCTACTTCTCTTTCAGTATGTTGAAGAAAACTTAGGTGTTATGTCAGTGGGGTTCTTGCTTAGTAGTCCTGATGATGCTGTCATCTGGAGAGGACCAAAAAAGAATGGTATGTATTGAGTGTTCCCAACAGTAATTTACATACTCGAAAGATTTCAAGTGTGGAAATATCATGAACTTGTTTAGTAATGTAGATAAGGCAGTTAGCTAAGACCCTGAAATTTGAGATACAGGAAGTTACTGCTTTCTCTCCCACATTCTTATCCTTCCCTCTAGGGCTGATCAAGCAGTTTCTGCGTGATGTGGACTGGGGTGAAGTGGATTACCTGATCGTGGACACGCCCCCAGGAACATCAGATGAGCACCTGTCCATCGTGCAGTACCTCAGTGCCACCCACATCGACGGTGCTGTCATCATCACCACCCCCCAGGTGTGAGCCAAAATTCCACCAGAGAAGCGTCATTGCACTTAAAGACAGTCCTTGGGTTACAGGCTATTGATTTCACAGAAACCTAAGGATACAGAATCTCAGGGAAATGACTTTGCTGCGTTGCCTCTGCAGCTGGCTGGTCTGTGGGTTAGATGGGTGTCTCAGTGGAGCTGGATGGGGATCCACATGGGGTCACTAAACCACAGCAGTTCCCACTCAAAAGCTGTTGTGACCTGTGTGGTGAAAGGAAATGCAGTATTTCACTTCCTCCTTCAGAATCAGAGTTCACATCATTGTGGATCTTTCATTTACTCACCAATGGCTTAACGTTCAGAAGGATGTTCTTAAGAAGCTTCATTTTTAAGTGATGAGCTGTGTGCTCTTTGACACCTGTCAAGTAGCCTGTCACCTCCAGGTGACCCACCAAAGTAGGCAGCTTTGTCATCTGCATTTTTAAAAGAGAAATCAGCTCCTGGAAGGGTGAAAATAAAACCACACCCAGTTCAAACAGAGGTTTTCATGTCCGGTTTGGAACAGAACAGATCAAACTAGCACATGACATGAAGTCCTTCGACAACAGCTGAAAGGATAACACATAAAGGAAGCAAAATATTGAGGAGAATACCAGAGAGGTGGTGAAGGAGGAAGGGAACAGAATGAATGAGGTCAGTCATATACATGAAAACTCTGAGGAGAGGATAAGATATTTTAAATGTAATTTGAAAAGAGGTAACTAGTGTAAACCCGGTGGTTCTTTTCCTCACTCTGTGGAGAATACCAAGGGTTCTCCTGTAAGATGAAAATGTGAAAAAGTTGCATTTAAAAAAGATATGAGATGAACATGGGAGATAAACATAAATACGGGTGAATCTTTTCTAGAGTCAGATTTCAAAACAGAACCACATCCAGTAGGCTTGAAGTGTTGTACCTGCTCTGTTGATAGAGCTTGTAGCACAGGTTTGTGTTCCTAAAGACAGCAGTTATAATTCATTATAAAGTAGCTCTAAGGAGGTAACTGAATGGATTTGGCATGAAACATAACAGTTGGAATACCAGTGTTCGCTAATATGTGTAGGAAGTGTCACTTCAGGACGTTCGGAAGGAGATCAATTTCTGCCGCAAGGTGAAGCTGCCCATCATCGGTGTTGTGGAGAACATGAGTGGCTTTGTGTGTCCCAAGTGTAAGGTAAGGCTGGCTGTGTATTACAGTGTTCTTTCCTTGGCATTGCTTGGATATCAAACATCACTCCAAAAATGCCTTATTCTCAGAATTGCAGTATTTTAACTCTGATTTTCATGTTGTCCCAGAATGAATCTCAGATCTTTCCCCCAACTACTGGTGGTGCAGAGAAGATGTGCCAGAACTTAAGTGTTGCTCTCCTGGGTAAAGTGCCTCTGGATCCACAGATAGGTAAAGTCACTTACTGCACTGCACTTAAAGCAAGCTGTTCCTCCTGTACTGATGTTACTGCTGGAAAACCCTGATGTAGGCACTGGTGTCAATTAGCACTTTTAGATAGAATGTTTTTTTGAATCAAAAGTCACTGGAACTATGACATAGCTTGATGTGGAATAAGGGAAGGGCTGGGGTAATCTTAACCTTTCCTTAATCAATTAAGATTATATACTGCGTCTTTTCAGCTCTGTTATCATATTTGAAATACATATCTTTCTCTTCGGTGTAGTCACCTGGAAATGCAGACTGAATGACATCATAACTGCTTCAAAGAATAATATTTTGTAGATGTTAAGCATTAGAACCAGTGTTACTAGCATTGCCCAAATTCTCTTGTGGGTCATGAGGAGTTGTGGTTCTTTGCCCACTAGCTGTTACCAATTAATACCTGAATTAATGATATCAAGGAATAGCTCAGTACTCCCAAAGGAAGGTTTCTTGTAGTATTATTCCTCTGTCAAACTATACACTGTATTTCTAGTCCTTTTACTGACTTCAGGGCTTTCTTAAAGGAATAGATGCAGGTGGCTGCTTGAAAAGGTGTAACTGGAATAGGATAAAAGCTAAAAAAAGGAAAGCTCATCTTTTCCTATTGCTTTGTTTCTGTGTTTTTTCTCTGTCCTTCAAGGAAAGAGCTGTGACAGAGGCCAGTCTTTCTTGGCTGAAGCACCCGAGTCTCCAGCTACATTGTCTTACAGGAATATCATTCAAAGTGAGTCTGAGAATCACGGTGCAAATGAATCCCTCTGGTTGCGAGCACTGCTGCAATACACAAAGGTGTTAAACAGGCTTGTGTTCCTGTGCCACACATAATAAAATCAGGAGAGGTGCACAGCAGTTCTGAAAGTAACAGGTGCAAAGACCGTTTGCTTCTGGTCATCACTTCTGACTGGCTGCTAAAGTGATAACGAAATTGTATTTGATAACTGGTTTCAGTGTTTGACTTCAGAGAAGTCAGACTTTCATTTTCAGAGATGGGGTGTCCTTGTGCTCAGAGAAACCTTCTGAGGCTCTCGAGCAGGTGTGTGGAGGGGTGCTCACCATGACCCAATGGGAGGCAGCTGACTGACCAGTGTCTCAACTTCTAACTGTAATTACACAAAAAACCCTGGCAAAAACTCCCCAAACAGCTGGTGCTGTGCTGTTTAAAAATAATCCTAAAGCCACTTTCAGTGTAAGGAAGGCCCAACTTCAATTTGTACCCTCAGGACAGATGCAGCAACAACAAACTCCTGATGTAAAACAGATAGTACTTATAATTCTTTTTCTCCATCTTTACAGGAATTCAGGAATACTGTGAACAACACCATTTGCAAGAAGAAAAGATAATGTAATCTGTAAATGGAAAAAAAATTCTTCATTTTTGTTAATTCATAATTATAGAAAAGTAACTTATGCCTTGATTTATTAAAGGAATGCATTCTTTTTGTATATTGCAAATAAATTCGTAATATAAAGGCCTTTGTTTATTCCAAAAGTTCAAGATTCTTATAGTTCTTCCTTCACTAGAAAGCTGTGAAAATGAGTCTGCATCTGAATTATCAAGTGCATTCTGCCTCCAGTGTCATGGTACCAATAACCTGACTGTGAAGGTAGCAGTTGAAGAGGTGAGAATACAACACACATTTTATTTAGGAGGTTGAATATAAAATATGGTTGACACTGAGGCATGCCTTTGTTCTGCCTGCTGCACAAGGGTGAGCTGTAATGCCCATTGTCTTTCCCTAAACAACATAATTTAAGTGTCTCCTTTCAGTGGAAAAGACCTGTATCTAGAATGAAAGCTGGGGTTGTATTATAGTACAAGTGCATTGATTTCTTTATTTTTTACAGTTATCAAGATGAATTTTTTAACTGTACATACTGCCAGTTTCACACAAGTAGTGGGTGAACATGGTTCATGACTTTTGTTTTCTTCTATTTGACCCTAAGCCTGAACATTAAAAAAAAAATAAACATTCAGTATTTTTAATAACTAAGAGGCTCTTTGGGATTGTAGTTGAAAGCTCTGAAAAGTCAGTATTGTGTACAAGAGGAAAGGCAGTTTGATTTTGTTTATTGTAGTTCCAAAGTTAAACAAATTAGCATTGTCTTTTTATTACATGTTATTCCTGGTTAAGACAATCCAACAGTTTGAGGTTAGTTGACAACTTTTCTGAAAGCACAGTGCTTCTTCATGAGCACTGTCTGTGCTCACACAAACAACTTTTTGGTGAAGCTTTTAAGTAACAAAGATGTGAAACCTTCCAGGATCTAAAGACTCAAACACAAATGACTTTATTTCATGCAGGCGTAATTCTAGAAGAGCTTTATATAAATACTTTCCCATGAAGAACAACTCTAATGAATTACTTGTTTTACTGCTCATCCTTCAGCTCTTCCTTGTTTAGTTACCTAGTGCCTGTCTTCCCATGTTCTTCAGTGCCATCTTCTGAAATTCTCCTGCTCTGTCCTGTTGAGGGAACAGAGCACACATGGCTGGAAGCATAACCTGGGACACCGGGATCTCTTAGAGAAGCAGGGAGCTGCCCGCTGGAAGCCTGAGGGTTGAAGATGGCTCTTTAGCTCTGCTTCAGCAGAGGCATTAGAATTCTAGTAACTCCAAGGATTTAACTGAAGGACATTCTTCTGGCGCTTTGAAGCAACTCAGTTGTGGAGCTCAGCAGGCTTCCAAACATGGAGCAAGTGACCTGGGGTTATAGCTCTTCCATGTGACACTGCCAGAGAGGCTTGCTGGAGGATCAGGATCACCCTGGACCCACTGCAGGAACAGACGTGGGAAGGGCCAGCACCAGCCCTGAGAGGCAGGTGGGCTGTGCCACCCCATGGACTGAAGCTCAGTATTCACTCTTGGGAACATCTGCGGTGCCAAACAACCGTGAGGTTACTCTGCTGATGGTTTTTTGTCCCCCTAACTTGCAGTGGATGTAGCCATATAAATTAGCAGTCTGGAGGGAGATCCCAGCAATTACGAGAGCCTGTGGACAAACAAGAGTTCAGCAGGAACAAATCCATGGCTATGCATTGACTGTAGGATATACACGTGCATGTGTGTACACACTATCCTGATAAACGTGCTGCAAGAGGAAAACATTCCTTCCAATAATAAATGGCCTTCCACGACATCCAATCATGTCAAACACAGTAGTTGCTTTCTACAAAATACCTCTTTTTATCGAAACACCAATACCAGTTTTGTCATTCTGTATGTTGAAAGATTTCATTACTTTCCTAAAAGCACTTATTCAAAAAAGGACCTACTCAACAGATGCCAGAACCACTTCACCTTTTTTAAGCCCCATTCCTATCTAAAAGTTTTGCATCCAGATACATGGCACACCTGCAGGCCTGTTCAGCTGACAAGCAACTTACTGTAAACAAATAAGATCTGTACTTCACAGATTTACAAAGAGCATCCATAGATAGATTCTCTGTCTAGCATTGACAGGCAATGAAAATAATTGGCTCCTATTGTGGTACTTCAGGTTTGGCAGCACATGGAACCAATCTGACTAATGCAGTAACTTCTGAAAATGTTTCTCTTAGCCTTCAGAAATAGTTTCCCAGAAGTGATTTTATTTTTGTGTAATTGGCCGTTAACAAGCATCCAGGCAACCTGCCTCCTGCACCAGTTAAGAGTTCTGTCTCCAAGCAGCTCTTAGCTTAGCAAACAATCTCTGCTTTTCAAAAATAAAGGTGGAGCCATGAACAAAGAGTGCTGGTTTAATTTTAACTATTGCTTGTTTAGGGGCACCAGAAAACAGTTAATGATTTGCAATTGTTTCATGCCCATAGCTGAATTTCTTGTTTAATTTAATAATAATATGTAATCTTGGCTGTTACTGGTCATGTAGCCACAGATGTTGGAGGTGTTTTTTATCTTTTCAAACTGAAGTAAGAAATGGCATTGAGTATGGCTGGGAACTTGACAGAATGAATAGTGTGGCAATTAGCCAAGAACTTAATGTTTACAGGGGAAAAAGTGAAGATTTTATAGACAAAAATATCTTAATATAACGCAATATATGGGTAAATTTCCTCTCGTGCTTAGAAAAAAGTGTTGGGGTTTTTTTAAGTAGGTGACTTATATGTAGAGTAATTATAAAATACTTACTTATAACTCAATTTATCAAAGTTTTAAGAGCTAATGATGCTGGTTCTTTCAATAGGGAGAGATCTAAAATCTTTTCTTTTTAGAGTAAGTACATTTAAATTCCCAGGAGACCTAAAAACTTGAAAACCAACATCACTGGTTCATTTTTGTCCTCTCCTGTTAGCTTCATTTGACTGAAATAAGTTGGGGCAGAGTAAGTTGCTACAGTTAAACAGAAGTCCATAATCTTGCCCATCACTTGAGGTTCTCTAGAGGAAGGAGTTGATATCTGATAACCCAATAGAAGTGCAGCTAAAAATTACCAATCCATTCCAGAGTGCAAGCCTTGACTGCAGAAAACTCCTCAGGATTCTTTGAAGCTGCTAGTGGAATTTTTGTACTGTTGGAAGATTTAGTTCAAAACTAACAGATCTGGGTTTTCCTTCTACCAGTATTGTCTTCAGTACCCCTTGACTCACCAGCCATTTCAGCTTCAAGGAGAACAAGGTGCTAAAGAAAAACGTTGTCCAAATCACTGGGCAGATGATGAGACCGAGCCAGAAGATTCGGGCTTCAGCTTCAGTTGAGGCAGCTACTGCAGGCACCTGGAAGAAAAAATTCATTGAGAGTGCTAGTCACAAAGTCAAAACCCACAGTAAATGACAAATGAACAGAGGAGGAAGATTTCACTTATCATATGCATAGAAGATTAACTAAGAAGAGAAGTAGCTCATGCCCAGTTTCCATCCTGATGCCCTCTGTAAATGACAGCATTTTCATCCATAGGATTTATCAGTTGGTTCTAGTTCAGACTGGAATTCTCATAAAAGTTCACATTTCTATACATTTTCCTAAAAAGATGCAGTATCTTAGTTTAATTTAAATCTTGCATGAATCTTACTTTCCTATTATATAAACTATTATGTATTCCTATTATATAAATACTTGGGTTTTGCTTCTGAACTTTGCTGACATTCCATTAATTAAAAATCATGGCTTTGAAAATCCCTCTTGTATCGTGCTGGAGTTGGGCACACTGTAACACAGCAGGAGGCCTTATGCCCCGTGCTCTATCTGCTGTGAGAGAGCAGAAACTGCAGAGCAGGCTGCAAAGCCCTGCTTACAGATTTCTGTAGGTCAGCACAACTCACATGTCTTTGTCTACACTGAAGGGCTCATCACTCACCACACTTTGAAAAGAACAAAAAAACCCCTGAAGTAGGATAATTGTCCAGAAGGTTCTGATCTTTCCAAAATTCAAAATATCACTCCAGCCCTCAGACCACTCGTGTCAACTTCTGAAACAAAAGCATCACAGTCGGAAAAGAAAACCTCTGGACTCTTCCACCTGAAAAGCTATTTAGTTAATTTTCAGTATACTGAATTTTCCATGTATTCTTTCCTGCAGCGTTTCCTCTATTTTGTCTTCGGACCCCCCCCCTTAGACTCACAGGAAGCACATGAATTTGTGTTCGGTGCTCGGGGCACCCGGAGCCGCAGCCGAGGCTGCAGAGGGCACTGCGGCCCCGCACAGCGGGACAGCCCCGGGACAGCCCGGCCGGCCTGCAGGCACGGCTGGAGCGCTCCAAAGAACGTCCTGGTCAGCAGCGCCCGGGTGCTGCTCTGCCAGGCTCCGTGGGGCTGCAGAGAGAATGTCAGCAAGCTAAAGCAAAACCCTGAGTCTCGACTCTGGCAGTGATGCCAAATGCAATGCCATAGTGCAGTTTTTTTCCCCCCTCAGTGTGTTTGGGGGACACTGGCAGTATCAGAATGCTCTGTGATCCAAGTTCTCTTTCCCACCATGTTCCATGAGCGTGAATAAAATATTAACTTCAAAGTACTGAATCTGAACTATTCAGCATGGCTTTCCACATAGATCTTTCCTGAAGAAGATTCTGAGTTGGGATTATCTATGTGAGGATGTGTTTATTATAAGATATTCTCCCTAGAAAATAAAATAGAACTACCAGAAACATTTCATACTTATAGCACCATGCTATGAATATTTATTCTGCTGATCCATATGCTGACAATGTTGTGAGACCTGTTTTGCCCTGAATACTTCCAGGATGTGACAAAGCAGTGCTTGCACCTGAATAGTGACATTGTTTTCTATGGAAGCTGGATAAAAAGTAACTGTTACAAAGGTGCTCTATTTGTTACTTTATTTGACTTGGTATCAGCTTTACACATTTCCTATGGATTGTTTGCCCTGTGTCTACTTCTAGTAATATATTTACCCTTTTTGCTTCAAACACCCAGTGACTTTTTCCATCTTCATCAATCTGATTCCACCAACGCAAACCAACCAAGAGTCTTCCTGTCACATTCTAGTGATGAAACCATTATTTACATTAATCAGGAGCACAAGTCACTTGTCAGTATAGCAATAGAAAAAATTTAAAAGACAAGCATGTTCAAAAATCATCTTCTATTATCAAATACTAAAATTACTTCTAAAAGCTGTACCAGCTTGAGTACAACAGCCATTAACAATGGGTGAAGTTACAAATTTAGAGGCCTGTTCTCTTTCAATATGATAATTTGCACAGTAGCACTTATTTATATAAGCAATTATAGGCTGTATATTTTTCAAGTCAGTTAGTTGGACAAGCACCAAATAAACAAATAAATTTCCTCAGTAAAAAGGAATACTGAGAACAAAAACACACTGGAAAATGAGACATTAATGGCAAGCAAGTAAGCTGTGTAGGATGGGGGAAACAAACCAAGAGAATATTTCTGCACCTGCATGAATACCAGAAGCTTTTAGAATACTGGAGGTGCATCAATGCTTCACTTCTACAAAACATAAGCCTTGCTCCACATATGGAACCCCTGGATCCTGGGCTGGCCTGACCCACCTACCTGCATGGGATTAGAGCACCAGAGCTATAGCTGGGCTTTCAGGAGTCTTCTGCAGCCCCTGCTGTGGAGTCTGAGCACAGGGTTGCAGATCTGGACATCCTTGGGTATCCATTACTGAAAGCCAATATTACTTTAATTTTTTACTTTATTTTTTTAAGGGGGAAAGAATACAAACCTGCCTATGGCAAAGCAATTTTCTCATCGTATTAGTAGACCTTAGTAGTCAGGCATAGAAACCATGTTGCTAAATAACTAACATATCTGAACAGCTTCATTAAAAAGGGCTAGACATTTAATAAATTTTTAAAATGCAATGGTTTTGTCACTTCTGTCATTATACATATTTCATTTTTTTTTCTGTTTTAATTAATGACAAACAAAATACTTTCCAAGGTAATTACTATTCAGGGTTATCTTACCTTGACGGACCAAAAGTCAAAGGACAGAAGGAGGAGGATGGTGACAAAACAGGCAACAAAGCTGTTGCTGAACCAGTCACAGAACAAATAGGTTACAATGGCACTCACTCGGAAAAACAGGTGGAAAAAGGTGGCCAGTGGGTGCCTAGGAAAGAGAAAACACAGAGCATACATGAGGTAATGAGACTGGAGGGAAAGTTACAGTATTTGCTGACAATGTAGCACAACGGAGCTGTTTCAAGTTTATAAAGCTACTACTTCAATGTTGGTGTATATCTTCATTATCAAAATAATTTGATAACGGTATTTTCAATAGCCAAGCTTCAGTCTAAAGCAAAAAGACAAAAGTGGTGTTCCTGTCAAAACTTTCTCAAAGATCAAACAAAATATGGAGCCTTTCACCAGATTCTTTGGTACTGTGTGAAGGAATTTAGTGGTTGTGTGCAACCCAGTACCACAAAATCCTCTTTGTTTCATGAAATGGATCAACATTGCAAAACACAAAAAAATTGAGAGAGCTCTTATGCCTCTCAGAACAGTTTTGAAAGCAAAATAAGAGCTCTAAAACAAACAAACAAAAAATCGTAGCTGCTTGCTCTAAAACAAAATGAACTTTCATATTTAATGTCTAAATCCAGACACTTCCTTTTAGACAGGCAGAATGATTTAGGAATATAACAGTTCTTCTGAATTACTGCTTATTAATTTCACTAGTATTTACACTTGAACAAAATTTTGTCTGTAACAAAGAGAAATTTCAGTGAAAGAAGTAACTAAGTACCATGGAATATTGGCCTGCACAGTAGGATGGGAGGCTGGAGAATGCTGTAATGAGCACAGTACAATGCTCAGGGTAATATGCCAGTAAAAATCTTACTTTGTACAATTGTTTGTGTGAATTAGTTGAAAGTGAGAATTAACTACAGGCTCTTGCAGTTAAGTAACTTCTTCCTTGAAGCTTAGAGAATAAAATATCTGAATAAGATATTTAAATGAACAAATGTCTCATTAAGCTCCTATGCCTCTGTGAACAATTAACAGTAGTATGGCCAATTAATGAAAGTATGGCCTAGGGCATAATCAACTATTTAACTATTAAATGTTATTCTGTTATTGTGTTCAATAAAATGAGACATATAAAACGAATACAATTATTTTAATTTTCTTATAAACTTAAATTATAGCAATATAAGTATAATAAATATTATAACTTAAATATCCTTGTTGTTATATTATTATTCTATAGCTGTTTAACTGTTCTGGTGCTTATCTTTCTCTAACAGTAATACTGTGTTTCTAGTACTACACACATGACTGGAGAGGGAAGCATGATGCACAGGTGAAATTTATATTTACTCCTGGTCATGCCCATGTGAGCTTCAAACTTTCCAAAAACTTCTTCTGACTTAGAACTGAACATGTGACATTTTAAGCAAAGGGGCTTTTTCTGCCATAGGCAGGCAGGTGGGTGGAGTGGGTATTGTGAACTGGCTAAAACAGGCAGTGCCTTGCTGCTTTGAGCCTTGATCTTGGTCAAGGAGATCTAAGAGTCAATTATGGAAGTGGTACCCTTGTGTCCAGAGCAGCTTTCATAGATCACAACCCCAAAGCACAGCAGGGTTGCCTGAGCTTTTTTAATGGATCAGTGCTTCAAATGTGGGTGGCATTAATGTTGAAGAAGCAATGTTTCATTTTGGAAGGCAGATTCAGCAGTATTACTGGATTACAACAGGATTACTGTTTGGATGCTGAATTTTTTCCAATATCAAACACTGAAGGATAGTCACTAAAAAAAACTCAACCAAACAAAAAAACCCAAACCAAACACATGAGCAAGAAGTTCTCATTTATTAGAGTGCTGAGCACTTACTGAGACTCTGGAAAGGATAAAGGAAACTGCAACTCTGCCCTGGCTCAGCTTGGCATACATTTCCTCCTGAAAGCACAGAAACCCGCTTGCTCGGACTTCTAGTTTTCCTGCTGCATCTAAACATCCATTTGATGTAGATCTGGAGCCTCAAGGCTCAATGATTGCCATTCACCTTGTTACAGTAACCTCTGTTCAGTTTGTGAGCATGATGCCTGTTAGGACAGGAATGAGCTGTAATCAATTTAGTTGCCTCTCATGTTAAAGAATCAAATTTGGGTCAGGCCTAATCTATGCCAGTGAACTACATGAGAATCATTCCAGGTACCTGCTCAGAAATGTCACAGTAGCACTCTACATGCTACTTTTTTTTTTTTTCCTTCTGATACTTCAAAATGTATTGAGGCAAATTTTGAATAAATGGGCTCTCTTTTCTGGCTTGATCATCATGTTTCCTGGCTGATTTGTAAAAGAAGCAATCATATCTGACTTCCAGATCCAAAGTTCTGGTACTGCAATGAACTTATATTTTTCCAATTTCTTAGGAAAGTAGCCACTAACCCTTTGCTTTTAAGGAGCCCTGTTGCACATACCTCAGAAAACCACAAAAGCATTATTTGTCATAGCCTATGCAAATTCTAACTAAGTTCAAGATATTGGAATAAATTTAAAGACAAGTGATTGGAACATCTTGTTATGCCCTCTAACAAGATAAAAAAATTTTTGCAGCACTTAGGTGAGTTCCAGGCTCATTTGCACAAGATTCTGCAGAAATATAAAAACAAACGCATGTGACCAGTGTAAGCAGTTTCATTTCTGCAGACAAATTTTCAATACTACATCATTTTTTAATACTGTCTTAAGGGCCAGAAAGAAGAGCTGTCTCTAATATAACCACTGTCTACACAAAGTGGATCCCAGAACTGTTTGCTGATACTTTACTTGTGCTGTGTTACTGAGTAATATGGATCAGGAGGAATCTCTAAGATCTCTAGAGAAAAGTGCCTGGTGCTGTGACCTCCTACAAACATTCCAGGGTGGTTTCACTTCATGCTACGTCTAGTCTGGTCCCACAGACTTAATCTGTGGCTCATGTGATCAGAGTACTTCTAACCTGTGTTTCTCAGCTTAGTTGAATCCTTTAGGCTATGTTCTCCAAGACTGCACCAAAATATAAACTTTCATTTAAAATACATGCTGCTGCTAAGGTGTGAAACCAAGGCAATTCTGGGAAGGTTAATCTTATGTCGGGGCTGACTCAAGTAGTGAAAAAGTCCAAAGCAATGCAAGGGCAGAAATGCTTCACCAGACACTAGTAAAACAGAGTAATTGTATTGTAAAGCAATATGATTGCTTTTTATCTCAGATAATGCTGTTTCAGATTTAATATCTATTTTATAATATTAATATCTATTGTTTACACTACAAGAAATATTATCATTGTAATGGACCAGACCAAACTGGGGCAAGGCAAAAGAAAGCAACTAAATCAAAGCTGATTATATACATCATTGATTAGTGCATGCCTAATTCCTTTTGACATAAAACTTGTCCTTTCACAATCTTTGATTGGAGATTCTTCAAAAGCCATTGATTGAACAGCTCTGCCACCTGGAACCTCTGCGTGGCCAGATGCAGTGACACCTCTGGTGAGGGTAGGCTGCTTAGCCTGACACATGAGATGGGTTAACGGGCTGGGTTTTCTCAGGTAATGCCTACAAGCATAAGATATTTTATATTCCACACAGCATCCCTGTAGGAAATCATGACAGCTTTATTGCAGCTATCTGGCTGTTCACTGAAGTGTCTGAGCACTGCTGCACAGCGGGCTTTGCTGGAGCTGAGAGTTGCCTCCACTGCTCCAGCTCCAACTAAAGCACTGTTTGCTCGGGGTTTGGGATGCTGGGTGTGCCAGGTTTTCATTTCCAGTGACCGAGTGATGCCGTGCAGCGGGGCCCGGCCTCGCTTGCTCCAGCCCGGGTATCTCCCCCCAGCCCCCCGGGCAGCCTGTTCCAGCGCTTGACCACTGTCTCTGTTAAAAAACGGCAATGAAGTGTTTAAACGGAGTTTTCTGTGCAGCGGAACAGCCAGGGCTGCCCGGTCCCGGGCGCCGCGATGCTGCGGCCTCCGCGCCGTTACCTGATCCTTGCTTTGCGCAGCGCCAGCTCCTCCTCGCTCCCGAAATCCAGGGACACATCCTCGGTGTCGTCCACCAGCGCCTGCGGCGGGAGCCCATCAGCGCGCAGGGCCCGGGGCAGCCGCGCCCCGCCCGCAGCGCCCGCCGCCCCTACCTGCTTCATAGCGGCCGCGACTGCAGGCCCGTAGCTGGCCCCGGGAAAAGCGGCCGAGCTGCGGCCCGGCCCTGCGCAGCTGCAGCGGCTCTGCCCTTCACACGGCCCGCGGCGGCTGCGCCTCGCCGGGCAGCTCGGGAGAGCCCGGGGACACCCGCTCGACCCAGCGGCCCTGGAGCGGGGCTGCCTGCGGCCGCCTCCCGCACGGCCCGGGCCCGGAGCGGCCGGACGGGCTTTAGCAGCGTGAGGGGCCGCGGCAGCCCCGGCCCTCAGCGCGGTCAGCTGCCCGCCCGCGGGCTGGCCACACGCACCCTCCGGTCAGGGCCGCTGGGGTCTCATGCTGAACACAAACCTTGAAAGGAAGAAGGAGTGCAGGGAAAGGTGAACGTGGGTGTACAAATATGGGAGCACACCTCGGCGCACACCCACAGCCCGGCCAGCGCTCCCCGCCGCCCTGTCCCTGTGAGGGGACAGCTCTGAGGGCAGGCGGTGGCACCACAACACCAGAGCACTGTGGATGTGCCACTGGCCCGGGGGAGATAACACGGCCCCTTAGACAGGCTGAGGTCACTCGGCTTGTTCAGCCTGGAGGAGACTGAGGGAACACCACAGGGTGGCCTTCAACATCCGCACTAGGGGAAGCAGATGAGCAGACATTGATCTCTGTGGTGATCAGTGACAAGACCCAAGCGAGTAGCCTGAAGTTGTGTCAGGGAGGTTTAAGTTGGATATTTGGGAAAGGTTCTTCCCTCAGAGGGTGATTGGGCACTGAACAGGCTCCTCAGGACAGTGGTCACCACTCCAAGCCTGACAGAGCTCAATAAGTGTTTGGGCAAAACTCCAGGGTGTGATTTGGGCTGTCCTGTGCAGGGCCAAGAGTTGGACTCAGTGATCCTTGTTGGTCCCTTCTAACTAAGGATATTCTATGATTCCATGATAAATTTTTTTCGTGCCTTAGTTTAAAATGCAGGTGGATTATGCGGCAGAGTTAAAGAAGTGAAACAAGACAACCAAACTTCAGGATAGGGGTAAGGGTTTCACAATAATGGGGAAAAATAGTCTGGACAGCTATGTGGAAGGTCAAGCTTACTATATGGAAGTGGAGTCAAGGAAGATTTGATTAATCACAGCCATGTGTAGATATGACTAGCTACTAGCATTAAATAAGCCTGAAAAAAAAAATTCCTAGTCTTTTCAAAAATATGTAACTAAACCAGATCGTTGAGTAAGTGCAGAAGCTACTGAAGTGAACTTTTCAAAAATATCAACTGGAAAGCAGCTTTGTGCAAGACTTACTGGAACAAAGCAATACTTAATAGGTAAGAAAAACTAATAAACTGTTCTTAGTAGGATTATAATTGTAAGGGAGAAAAGGTGTGCTTAATGACTAATGATGTTAATATTTTGATATTAATATCTGATGTTAGTATTTTGTCCTTGGTCGTGTTAAAACAACTCGTACAGTGTGGTAGTAAGTACAATAGACTGCCACTAAAAACTGAATAGGCACCTGTTATTTGATGGAATGGCTCATGGTAGCCTACAGTATGAAAATACTGAAGTGGGCTTTCACTCTCCAAGGAGATACAAAGAGATAGCTCTATTTGAGAGCTCTCACGAGAAACAATTATTAAATAATGATGTGCATACCTGAAGCTGACCTCGACTTCATCTCCTGTATCAACATGCACTTCTGCTTACAAGCCACAAATTAACAGTAACTCAAACAGAGCCGGCTTCTGAGTCGGAAGCAGCTCCTGGAACTCAGAGACAGAAGCCTTCAGCAGTGCAGGGAGCTCTCGTATCCTCCTGGCTGCCAGATCAGGCACCTCAGCCCCTGCAGCAGCTCCTCCTGCACCTCTCAGGGCAGTTCTGCCAGCAAATCTGATCGACTGAATTTAGTCATTCTGTAATGTTGCTCTATTGTCCTAGCCATTGCATCTTCATTCTAAGGCACCGGAAAATAGCTGTGTCCTGTGTCCCTTATCACATAAAACAGCACCTCTCTGGGAGAGAGGACTGAAAAAGAAGCAGAACCTGTCTTTTGTGTTTTAATTTTAAAACAGAGAAATGTTTCCTTAGTTTTCCCTCCTTCCAGTGCTTATCTTCACTGGCTCAGTGTAGGGATTACCTATTTTCCTAACAAACTATATTGGATAATCCCACAGGAGATTGTCACATGCAAGTGATTTTGGTCAATTCTCTAAGAAGCTATATGAAATTATGCTGTGTGATTATTCAAGGTATTATATGGCTCATATATTACAGGAGCCATATATATAATATGCTCCTTCTTTTAGAGCAAATTGAGAGCTAGAAAGAATCCTTGGTCTCTAGAGGAATCATTGGTCAAACAAATTTCTTTGTCTGGGGTTTGCTAGAAAAGAATTCTTCCTTGTTTTAAAACTAATGCATCCAAATGCAACCTCGTTAGGAGCTTCCAGTGTTTTTTGGGATTTTACAGAACAAACTGCCCTATTTTCAACACTTCTTCTGAGTTGTAATTTAACTACAAATTATGTGAACATTGGAAAGAGAACAACACCCTAAAGGTGATATAAGTCCTCAAATACTGTTTCAACAGCCCCAGGTGAAGAGGTCGTTACACTGAATTTATGAATTGTGCTTTGGTTTTCAGGTTTTTGCACGGGAAAACCTAGACCATTTATAGAATATGTTAAGATTTCACTTAATTGATGACTGAAGTATATAGCATAAAATAGTTTAAAAATACATCACATGCTGCTGTTTCCTTGCATTACCTTACAGGGAATTCCCTCCCCACAAAAAATAGTGGCATTTCTATTGTAGAGCACTATCTGAGGCTTGATATAAATATCTGAAAAATCTCTCCCATTTTCTGTTTCAACAATAAATAAAGCCTACTGTGAGATTAATATGGTGTTTTATGCACATGGTTACCAAGAAGTCAGGTGATTTCTCTTTCTCCTTGGAACACTTCCCAGAATCTTGCAGAGGCTTATCAGAGACTTCCCCTGTGAACTTCCTAAGGATGTTGTGAATAACTTGTCTGGGTTTGCTCTGCTTTAAGCATTTCAGTGGGGTTTACAGTTGAGTATTCTATTCCTCTGAATATTGGAAAATATTGTTAATCCAGTAATAACTCTTACCTCACTTTCATTCATCAGAGATACATGTAAAAGGTTTGTTGGTACTTCAATAAAACATTTACATTTTAGTGTGATGGGGCAAATCAGAGAAGGTACTAAATAGATAAATTTCTAATAGCTCTGCTTTATAATTCATTTGTCAAAGATTATTTCCTGCTTTGGCCCAGAAATGATTTCTATAGATTTTTTTGGTTGTGCATACATGAATTGTTGTAATTGGCAGCTAAGTATTAGGAGGGGAGAAGCCACAGGATTTACTTGGGGGATCAGGACAGTTTCTTTTAGCTGGATGATATATAACAACACACTGTCAGTTAGATATCAGGTTTTGCCATCAGTAAGAAATGGGTAACAGAAAGATGTGTCAGAGCTGAGGAAGTTTAGGCCCTAAATATAAATGGGGATTTAAAAAAAAAGTATTGATCCTTCATTTAGTTGTGCCTAAAAAGGTGAAAATGATTTTTGAGTATGTGAAGAAAGGAGTATAGATCCCCATTATTGCACAGTAAGCAGTTTTGATTCTAAGAAGTGCAATAGCAGCTGTATTCCTTTCAGTTAGGGAAAAACCAAGGAAACATTACATATTTTATTAAATACCTTATTTTACCATCTGTAATCCCTGTGTGGCTTTAAGACCTTATTTAACTTGTGCTGTAGGAATGTCTGGTGCAGTCACCTGGGAAATGAAAGGCATTGAAATTATTAATGAGTTTACTTCAGTATCATTTTCCTGCTTAGACTGTACAGTGGTCACTTAGAAACATTCAAAACAAGGGCACACAAAGCAAAGTCATTGTCTCTCTTCCAGCCTGGGGTGCATTCCCAGCACTTGGATGCAGATTTTTCAGTGTGTTTAGCTTTATATATCTCTTGATAGTGTTCAACACTTCACTCTCAGCTGCAGTTCTTGGTAGTTGTTAATTTTGAAAATCATCTCTCAATTCTCAAATTGGGAACTCCAAAAATAAGGAACTTGGGCTGTCAAAAGTTTGGTTTAAGCAACTTCATAGCAGAGCTTACCCCTGAGTCCTGGGATCCATTTCCCAGAGTGGAAGTGATTTCATCAGAACAGGTGCTTAGAGTCCCATCCTTTGCTACATGAATTTAAAATGCCTCTACACTCTCACACAAGTATCCAATAGCTCTCCTGCCTTAAGCCTCTATAGTCTTACTGAGAAAAACAAAAAATAATAATCTGAACCTATTGAATAGAAGACCCTAACAGCTATCAAACAATTGAGAAGCTTAGTACAGTAGGAGGTTGATAAGAAATATTGAGCATTGTTTCTTCTACTGGTTTATCTGCAGAAATAAAACTTAAATTTGCTTATGAATGCTGTAAGTTGCTTATTCATTAGGTTTTTTTACATGTTTCCTTTTTCTTTTGTTCCCCCTGGCTGTTAGTAGTACCTGCACAACCTCATTGAGCTCCCTGAGAAGCTTGCTGGACAGTTCTTCAACCACTTTGACTGGCAATTTCCACTTCATCTTTTGTTCTAGAGCTGTGGGTAAGCAGCTCTTGCCATAATTGCTTGCACTTGTTTTTCTTATTTATTCTAAATTGGTGTCAGGGAGATGGTCAAGGCAATTAATTTATCAGAAAATATATGAAGAGAATATAGACAAAACACGAAGTAAGAAAGGGTTCCTAATCTGGTGATGCAATGAATTGAAAAACCTGTACCTACCATTCTTAATTCTGTGAATTTTTCTGTGAACTTGTGAATTTTTTTGAAGCAGCCTGTGGTCCCTACGTCTATAGTATTATTGTTCAATGGTATCTTTCCTAATTTATTAATACTTCTTTTTCTAGTTCACTAAATAGCTTCAGCTTCCTAGTCTTCCTTGTACTGAGGCATGGAGAACTTGAGGGTAAATCTGAGGTATTAAAATTCCCCAAACCCGTACTTTTTGTGTAGGTTTGAATGGTACAAAGAGGAGGAGGTGCTCCGGATTGGTCTGAAGGTCCCTAGATCCCCCAGATAAGTTGTAGGGACTTTAAGTGCTTTGGATGGGGTCTGACACATTGACTGATTATTCTTTACAAGATGCACCAGGTGCTGCTGAACACAATTCACTCTCTCTGGAGCTCTGAACTTCTCCTAGAGTCAGGGGCCCAATCTTTGGGCAAAACTGAAAGTGAGCTTCATGTCTGTGGCCTATGAGCCCATTTTACAAACAAGGCCATGATTTAAGAGACCACAGTTTCCTCTATGGCCTGAAAGATGACAAGCCTCAACCTCCCAGCCTAGAAGAGGAGGAAGTTCCAGGCTGTGCTGGACATCTCCACAGCTGTTCCCAAGAGAGCTGTTATGCCTGACTTCCCAATGGAGGGTGTTTCTCCTGTGACTGGGCCTGAATTCATGAGGCACACACCTTTAAAATCTATAAATAATCACCAATTAAAAATACTGAAATAAAGCTTGGATGAAGGGAAATAACCCAAACCTGTTGGTTTCTTAGGGAATGCACTGACTGTTTTTTATCCTTCATGCAGAGCAGAGCAGCTTCAGCAGAAGGGTGTGAGAGCTCTCCTTCTCCACGGCAGAGCAGCCCAGAGACCACACTACAAATCTGTGGCAACATGAACCCGAAACTCGTGAAAAAAAAAAGATGGTGTGACCTTTCTGTGATACAACAATCCCTGTGTGCAGTTACAGTAACACACAGCACAACTACTGGAATGGGGGTCATGGTAAGTGCTCCTTCCTTCAACTGATGGCAGAGCTGCTGTGTCTGGTGTGGATTCTGAAAGCTTTTGTGTCTGATCTGTGTTTTAGCTGACAAAGATCAGAAATGCTCTAGGGAAGCCCCTAAAATATGTGGTTTCTTCAACTGTCAGTTTGTTATTTTTGCCCAGCTTTTTGCTTCAATATGAAATTGGACACAGGCTGTGGTTTTTTGCGTGCATCCTTTTCCTTGTTCGCTGGAGTTTGCATTTGTGTGCTGTTTCCCATTCTTGCTCTATTTTATTTCAGTGTAAGGGAAATTACAGGGGGTTTATGTCACATGCTCCAGTGTATCCTTGTACTAGACTACTTATATGAATTCCAGTGGTGGTGAAAGGAAAGATACAAATTTCTTTTATTTTCTTTTTTTTTTTTTTTATTGCTCTTAGCTACAGGTAAATGAGAAATCCTTCTGTGAAGAGGATGAATACTGTTGTGCACTGCCTGTCCCAATACTAATGCTAAGGGATCTGTGCATTTGTGAAGTTCACAGACTACTTGAAAACCAAGGGAAGCATAAGAGGTTTTCTCAATGTCTTCTCCTCCATCTACAGTCCAGGCAGGTGGCAGCTGCTGGTGGAAATGCTTGCTCAGAGTTCCATGTGTGACTGGCTGCTAGGGGATACACTAATGGGAGAGTGGAGAAAGAGCTCCACTCCGTAGGATAGTTCCCTTCAGAAGCAGACAAGCATCTGAGCAAACAGCTTGTGGTACATCATCATGATTGCCACTTAAACATGAGAAAAGCAGATTTTCTGCACAAGTTTCACCCCTTAAGCAATTTCCACCTGCAAATGTGTCCAGGCAGTGTTCATCATGACCAGGAGATTACAGGCTTTTCAACCCAAACAATGGATTGTTTCTTCTGTTATATCTAGATTGGAGACAGATCAAAAGCAAGATGGACTTTGAATGGATGATAAGATATAAACATGTATTTCTGTTTTACTCTTCCCATGTGTTCTAAGTATTCCTGAAGAATTTTCCAGCAAGATCTGCAAGATCAAAACTTGGGAGGAAGCCTAGTTTCCATAGAGCTGTCCTCTGTAGAAACTTTTGCTGGGCTATGGGCAAACATATCAAGCAATAATGAGCTCGAAGTACTCTGCCTTTGATCCCAAAGCTGATTGTCTTGTAACTGACACAAGATAAGGGAAAGGGGACCACAGAAGCTTAAGCTTTGAAGACTTGGTTGAAGTTCTTCTCCTGCTGCAGCCCTAATTTGCAATAATCAAATGTGATTTCTATTTCTGGTTTTGTTTTTGCATTTGTAGAAACAAAAAAGTTTTCTTACTATCTTGACACCAGATAAAATCTACCAAGGTTCATGACATACCCAAATGCCGTGCGCTGGAGACCATAATGTGACCTACATTGGTGCACTTTAATCTACCTCACTGCCCCTTGGAAAAATAGTGACATTAATGACAGACATTTTACTAATATTATTTGGGTTCCAAAATTAGTAATAGACTTTACACAGCACTGTATTTACTTAGAAGTGACACTTCCCCTCAATGCAGAGAAATCAAAAGCACAAGTTCTCCTTTTCAACTCACTTTCCTCTTTATAATGTGTCACAGCACAAACAATGTGTGTGAAAAAGAGAACTAAGCCAGGTCATGCATTTTTACTGTTTGGTGCTTCTTATGTAGCTATTGCTTAGCACTTTCCATAGCTAAGGCATGCATTTTCTTTTGGATCTTGAGAACACTACCATGACAATCCCTAAGAGAGGTACAGCTGCGATGAAACATCTGTCTTATCTACAAAAGCTGCATGTGAGTTAAAGAGAATCCATAGAACAGGAAGGGAAGTCATGCAGTAAAGCAAAGTAGTGAACTGCTGATGTCCATATATTGCACAGCTCGAATCATTATAATCAGAAAATAGGGAAATTTGTTAAATAAACTTTCCAGTCTATGAGAAATTGTTCAACCAGCAGTACCTCAAAGCTATTCATCCTAGACAGTATGAATCCGAACAAAAATTCTGCTGTGGAAATCAATTTTTGGGCAGAGAGGCCAGAGATGGGAGCTGACTGGAAAACCAGAGCTCAGATACAGAGTCAACATAAAAGGAATTTTTAAGTTCCTTGTTCATAATATAGTATCGAAATCCATAGGGACTTTGCAGCAATGTCCATGAGCATTAGAGAACATGGCCCTCAGTGAATAAGCACCAGCCCATTCCTGAACCATGCAAAGCAGAACTGCAGGAACATACTTTGGGTAAGTCTCAGGAGCCTTTGGTTATCAATGTTGTGCCTTCCATCATGCATACACACTCACACAGGATTTCCTCAGCAACTCCACCAAGGCTTGCAGCTCTTAATGCAAACCTTTTAATGTCTATTTTGAAACTGACTTCCATTAGGAAAGTAAAGCTGTGATATTTTTGAATGTTTTGAACATAAAAGCTCAGTCTTTTAGATTGCAGGGATAGGAGTTTTTCTCTAGAGCTTGTTGTAAAAGCTGTCTGATCAAACCTTTTCCTCACTTGCTTACCTCAGAAACTAGCTGTGCTTCAAAGTCCTCCAGCATCCTTCCATGCCTACATTTCTAGTATCACCTACTGTTTTTCTTCCCAAATGCTATGACGAGCCTCAGTAAGGCAGCATGAAACACTGCAGGTGAGACACACCAAGATAACACTGCAATGCTGCTGGTCACACCTGCAGCTTCCTCAGAAGGTTATTTTCTTAAGTGAAGTTAGGAATTCGAAAGGTTCACAATTTCCAATCTAGTCGATTCAAAAGCAGATTATGGCCTCAAATACTTGTGGTCATTCAGAATCTCACCAGACTTTGGACAAACATTCTCAGAAATCTGATGGAGTAAGACTCTAAAGGAGAGAAAGACTGAGCATACAGACTAATTAGCATGACAAGTGAGGGAATCTTTTAACTAATAAAAGATAGAATATAAATTAATAAAAACCTATGTAACTTGTAGCCAATGAACATTCACACCTTTGTTTGCCAAAATGTATTAATAATGAAAAGTTCTAATAGCTGTGGTGCTGGTTTTATGAATTTGCCACCCAGCCTCCCGTTCTGTGCAGAACTGTAAATAAATCACATATCTTGACTCTGTGTGGGAATTGGCCTCTCTCACACCAGGTGAAAAAAACATTTTGGGCAACAAAGGCATGGATGAAAATACAGGAGGAAATCCTCAGGATACATATTAAGATAGTTCATATGAAGGCAAAATACTGACCTCTATCATTATATGCATTCAAATTAAGGTGAAGAATTCATATTTTAAATGTAGAAAACCATGAAAAGTGACCTAGTATCACTTATGCTGGTGGTTCCAATACTACTAATCATGTTCTGTCTCCTCCTTTGACAGTAGCATAGTGTCCCAGTCAACATCAAAGCAAAGAAGCTGATGGTCACCTGAAAAGCTTAGGCAGTTCTCAGCTGTCTCTTCTTTTCCAGTCTGCTTTTCCCTCGAAGACCACCTTTATGGACTGCTCCACTTAGATGCACTATGATTTGCTCCTTTCTGCTCTTTCCAAGCAGCTATGAGTGTTGTACAAAAAGTGGACAGCCAGTCTTTGCTGCAGTCGTGAACTGGAATCACAGTAATAAGCTGAACTCTGTTTCCCCAAACGTTAGTTCTTGATGTGTATAGGGATTGCCTTATGCATTTCAGCCTCAGAAACTGGACAGGTGCCTGCAGGGCTGCTGAAAGAGTTGATCACTTGAGGGATTGTGCTGCACATTAGAATAGAGCTGACAAAATAGCCATG